CTCTACCACGGCAAAATAGGTGTAAAAATGTAGGAACAAGGCATTCGAGAGAGGGAGCAAAGCAAGCTATACAAGATGGGAGTTATATTAGGTTGTCAAAAAGTAAACTCCATTTTCATATAACTTGAGCTGTTTTTGTTTTTTTTGACAGATTTAAGATATATTCGGTAGAGCGGAACAAGCTCTATAAAGAGACTACCAAAGATCCAACGAATTCGTAACCTAGGTAAAATTTGGAGCCAAAAATCGAAATTTTCCAGCTACCTCAGAAATCGGTTTTGCTTCCAGGAAACTCCTACGGACTTCCAACTTGGTCTTTATATAGTAGACACATAGTAGTACCCAAAAATGTATTTGGTGGATTTTTTCGGGGCTCAAAATTGAGAAACAAAGGTGGTCCCAAAATACCATAATGCCACTTTTTTTAGGTTTTCTATGTAAAACTTAATATTTCTCGATTATAAAAGCACATGCAGCAGTGACATTTCAACTTTGTGCTTAGTAAGGCTTATACAGTGCTGGACATAATTATACAGCCACTCTAGAAATCGTCGTAATCTTTGTTCTTGTCAATGAATCTGTCTGAAACTTTGCTATATTGTGCGCATGTCAGCCTACCATAACCCCTTAAAACGGCTTCCAGTCTTGTTGAGTTTGAACGGAGAAAAACGAAAAAAATCGAAAAAGCCCTCTTTGAAAGCTGGACAAAATTATACAGCCACCTGGTTTTTCTAATCACTATCGCATTCGTTGGCTCTGAAATTTTTTTGTACAATTACATCCCAAAATATGAAACATTTGCGACACTTACGGCCTGTCTTCCTACTCAAATAGAAGCAATCGCTGCATTTCTTGCTTTTGAAAGCATTAAAAGTCAATCTCCTTCAACAAACAACTGCTTTAAAGAGTTTTCAAGCTCTTGTTCATTCCAAATGATAATCATGGAATCTACTGACCCTTCTGGATAGATGAGGTGAAGAGCGCTTTCGTAAACTCTGCGTAATCGCTGATTTTGACGGACAGACTCCAACCTCAACATAGGCTTGGAACGCTTTTAAGCCACAAAACTCAGTTTGCAATGTCCACAAAGTGCTGAACTTGATTTATCACATTGTCTACATGGGGATACAGCTTTCGCAACAACTTTCAGATTTTTCCTAATGATGCGGTAGCGATTTAGACCTGGAATACTTTCCAAAAAAATTCCCTGCGAGCGGAAGATTCGATATAACCCTAGATCTCCTTATTTCCGTCTGTGTTTCATGTCATATTTCACCCGATGAATGAGATTAGCTAAGATTTTGAAGTTTTAAGCGTCTCCGGTTTTATCTCGTGATCTGAGTTGGCTTTATTGTACAGGGTGCTCCACTCAACATTCAGTGAATGTCAACTGCGGCTAAATCAGAGTGCTCAGTCCCGAAATTTTTTCCCAGTCATGCACACGAGTTCACTGTTGTATGGCTGTCGTAATGGCTACATTACAGTATCCTCTGTCGCTTGGAAATCGAGTTTCTTGGTGCAAAAGTGCGTCAACCCTATGGTGACGTTGGAGTCTGTTCGTCAAAATCAGCGATTACGCAGAGTTTACGAAAGCGCTCTTCACCTCATCTATCTAGAAGGGTCGGTAGATTTCATGATTATCATTTGGAATGAAAAAGAGCTTGAAAACTCTTTAAAGCAGTTGTTTGTTGAAGGAGATTGACTTTTAATGCTTTTAAAAGCAAGAAATGCAGCGATTGCTTCTATTTGAGTAGGAAGACAGGCCGTAAGTGTCGCAAATGTCATATTTTGGGATGTAATTGTACAAAAAAATTTGAGAGTAAACGAATGCGATAGTGATTAGAAAAACTAGGTGGCTTTATAATTTTGTCCAGCTTTCAAAGAGGGCTTTTTCGATTTTTTTCGTTTTTCTCCGTTCAAACTCAACAAGACTGGAAGCCGTTTTGAGGGGTTATGGTAGGTTGACATGCGCACCATACAGCAAAGTTTCAGACAGATGTATTGACAAGAACAAAAATTACGACGATTTCTAAAGTGGCTGTATAATTATGTCCAGCACCGTAGTATACAATGGCATACGTGAGAGGGGCTGGGAACGGAGTTTGCCATTTTTGCACTATTTTATTTTTCTCGCTTTCTATGCGCGGAAAAAATCAAGTAAAAGCATATTTGAGTACTAATATGTGCCTACTGTATAATGACCAAGTTGGAGATCCATAGGGTTTTTCTTTGCAAATATTCAAATTTCAGGTGACAAATTTTTTTTCAATTTTGGCTTCAAACTTTACATGGAAGGCGACATAGGCGGACCTTTGGCAGCCACTTTGTAGAGCTTGCTCTGCTCTATCGAATGTTACCCTAAATTTACTAGGAAAACAAAAACAGCTTGAATTATTCAAAAAAGGGTTTACTTTTGGGACAACCTGATGCAATTGCTAAAAGCATCCACAGAAAGTTTTGAAGAAGAATTGAAGTACCTTAACAATCAAAAACCAAGTATGCGAAATGAAAAGCCTGTTCTAGCAAAGGCAATGCTAATTATTCTCAGTAATTAATGCTATACTACAAAACTTTGGATGTACAATGATAGATTTTTAGCCATGACCAAACACAGCATGTATTGCGTACGTAATATGGACCAAGTAGGAGGTTTACAAGATCTTTTTCAATAGAAAATTTGACTTGAAAGCAGTGTCCGGGCAAGATGGGGGTTTTGGGATCTCAGTGCCATGCGAGAGTGGCCCCTCAGACACAACATCTCGCAAGTGCGACATCATAACGCTCGACCTAAAGCAAGAAAAACGACCGGAAAGTGGGGAAACTTACGCCTTGGGGCGGGGTCCTCCGAGCTGTCCGAATTTCTGCTATGCGCAGAGTAGGCATGCCGCCACAGTCAAAATGTGGGGTCCCGCAGCGACTCTGCGTCTCTTCCTTGGTGGGGGCCGTCAAATTTCAAGGTGTGCGGCTTTGGAAAACGTAAGTTCTCGCCGTTTTTGCTCCTTCTAATGTGGATTTTCGGATTCAACGTTGCGGATAACCCACGGTAAGTGGATTTTCTAAAGATCGAGTTTTTGCACGGGCACTGCCTTTAAAATATTTGAATTTGACTTTCAGTCTTCGTGGATTAAGCCTTTTGATTGATGTTTGTAAGGCTTGCGTTTCTGTAATGAATGATAGGTTTCGCATACGTTTGGAAGTACAACTAAATTTTCGGCTCAAGCATTAATTTTCGAAAATTCTCTATCAGGTTGTCAAGAAAATAATGTCGGTTTTTATTTGTTTGCTTTGACAAAGAAAACAGGCTCAACTCAACAAAAGGTAGGAAGTACTGTTCGATAGAGCAAAGTCAGCTCTACAAGATGGCGTTCATAACTTTGCGCCATGCTCGATCCACGGAGAGTTCGAACTCAAAATCTACAGATTTCCAAATGCCCAAAAACCGAAAAAAATCAGATCTTCGTCCAAATAATTTCTACGGACCTCACACTCGCACAAATCAATACTTTTGATATTTGTTATCCATACATGCAGTTGCTGTATTTTTCCTGCACTAGAAGCTAGAAAACAATAATTTCCGTGATCTTCTCAAAGCAATGCTGAGCCGTTCTTGCATATGAAGCTCTATACTACAAGCTCAGATAAGCATAACTGTAGATTTTCAGCCTATTTCGAGCAATAGTTTTTAAGAAATGTCGATTTTAGCCCTGAAACTGTAAGGAGAAAAAAGCTGAATTCGATATTTTTCGAAAACTATGGCTTGGAATGGGTTGAAAATCTACAGTTATGCTTATTTGGGCTTGTAGTATAGACCTACATATGCAAGAACGGCTCAACATTGCTTTGAGAAGATCACGGACATTTTCGTTTTTTCAGTTTCTAGTGCAGGAAAAATACAGCAACTGCAAGTATGGATAACAGATATCGAAAATATTGATGTACTAGCTGGCTTACCCGGCTCCGCCGTATCCGGACCAAACTTGGCACACATACACTTCGGGCCCCGGCGGGTGTCACAGTCCACTTTTCGTTATCGATCGATGTCGATTTTACCGATTTTTATCGATTTTTTTTCAGAGTTCACCTACAGGGCTAGGAGTTGGCACAGGGGGGAAGTGAGCATGGGGATTCCGAATCAATTTTAGTTTTTCAGAATCATCGATTACTTTTATTGATTTTATCGATTTTTTGTAAATTTTGACATGCGAGGCTGGGATTTTGCACAGGGGGGTAATCGAGCATGCTGATTACGAACACAATATTAGTTTTCAGGATCGTCCATTACTTTCATCGATTTTATCGATTTTTTGAAAATTTGAGCTAGGGGGCTGGAATTTGGCACATGGGTGTAATCGAGCATGCAGATTACGAATACAATATTAGTTTTCAAGATCGTCCATTACTTGGGGATGATCAGCATGCTCGATTACCCCCCTGTGCCAACTCCCAGCCCCGTAGCTCAAACTTTGCAAAAAAAATCGATAAAATCGATAAAAGTAATCGATAATCCTGAAAACCAATATTGTATTCGGAATCCCCATGCTCGATTACCCCCCTGTGCCAACTCCCAGCCCCGCAGGTCAAACTTTACAAAAATAATCGATAAAATCGATAAAAGTAATGGACGATTCTGAAAACTAATATTGTGTTCGTAATCAGCATGCTCGATTACCCCCCTGTGCCAACTCCCAGCCCCGTAGGTGAACTCAGCAAAAAAATCGATAAAAATCGATAAAATCGATATCGATCGATGACGAAAAGTAGCCTATGACACCCGCCGGGGCCCGTAGTGTATGTATGCCAAGTTTGGTCCGGATCGGTTCAGAAATGGAATTTTCTATTCGGAACATACGTACAGACATACATACATACAGACAGACAGACAGACATACATACATACAAACAGACATTCAGCTTTATATATAAGATGCGAGTGTGAGGTCCGTAGAAATTATTTAGACAAAGATCTGATTTTTTTCGTTTTTTTGGGCCTTCGTAAATCTTCAGATTTTGAGCACGAACTCTCCGTAGATCGAGCTTGGCGCAAAATCATAAATGCCATCTTGTAGAGCTGGTTTTGGTCTATCGAACATATTTCCTGTCTTTTGTTGGGTTGAGTCTGGTTGCTTTGCTAAAGCAAGAAAATTAAAACCGACATTATTTTCTTGACAACCTAATATTATAGCTTCCCTTACTGTGTAATCGAGATAATCGATTACGGCGTGAAGCTATAATCAATATTCATTAGTACTGTCAGAGACTTGTGATTTATAATTACTCGCGGTTTTAATAGGGGAACTGTTTCTATGAATGTCTGATCACGTTTATGCTTGAACTCATTTTTTCAAGCATACAGGAAGTTTTAGACCCATCATCAAACTTGAGGTGGAGCGCAGCTGATGTGAACGTTTATATTTAGCTGGTGGATTTGTTGCTTCATCGAAGGGTCCCTGAAACCTATTTGAAGAAAGATGTGTCACTCATAGCGATAGAGATTCAAAATGTAAGAAAACTCATGTGGCAAAACAATGTACCATATAGCCGAAACCAGTGCTCAAAACTCAACCTTTATCTGGAAGAATCTTTCAAAAAGCTGTAAATATGGACTACGAATATACGAGCTTACCTGCTGCTAATGTCGAATGTTGTGGTAGGACTAACTCAGAGACCGCATGGTTACGTTTAAATTTTAAAAGCAGGTAGATTAATTTGAATTGTGAACTAACATTCTTCAAAATGCAGTGTGCAAATTCTGAATGTCAATCGTGTGATGAGAATTAAACTTTAAGCTCAATAATCGTGTAGAATGATCTATCGATATTGTTCTTATAAGCATGTTCCTGTTGCACAGAAACCTGCTTTCTAGAATTTAATAGCGTTTGCCGGGAGAGAATTGACCAAACTTGCACAACCGGCTAGAGTTATAAAAATAAATGCGCGTCGGACATTGGAATGATTGATTCACTCTCTTCCATGTGTTTGAATGTGTGAATCAACACGGAAGACTGTCTTGTTTCGTGCTGACTAGCCATATTAGCATACATCTTTATTAATTGTTAATTTTGAGAGAAACACAAATGGATTTAATCTGCTGTTTCTCTACTGAGATGGACGTCAAGCTGCATCTTCAGAAAATTTTTAATTTGTAGGAAGAGAAACTTTCATTATTAGTATCACTTTATGTGCTACTATAAAGCAAACTTTTAAGGATCTCCTCTCGACTTGGTCTACTCTTCATTCTTACTCTCAACATTGAGCTATTTTTTCACATGAAATGCATTCTTGACATCCTTGTCAGCTGTCGAAGAATCAATAGAGTGCACATGAAAATTCTGCAATTTCTGCATTGTGAGGTCAATCGCATAGAAACTTTCTATTATTTCGCACGATAAGGTCGCTTTTTTCTGACTGGTCATTTTCCGCTCATATTCTCTGGCAGTATGCAGACAGGAAAAAAGAACTGAGTGATTTGTTGGCATTTTCTTCTAGTCATTATTGATCAAAGCCAGCTTTTTCAATATTTTCTTCAGTCGAGTGAGGGAACTTACCTACCCAAAAGACTTGCCGCATTGTACCTTCGGTATCATAAGTTGTCAGCAACACTAACTGGCATTGTATGCAGAGTTGGGCAGTCCGGAACCATCTTCAATTTTAGCGTATTGGTGATTTTTTTGTTTTTTTGGATCGAATATGTTGGAATGTAGTAATCTGAGGGAATTTGGATTCAGCCAGTTTCCCTAATCAAAGCAGATTTTTTGTTTCTTTTCCGGTTCTTCCAAATTCATAATGAATTTATATTAAGAATTACATAGGAAAGTTTGATTTGGCAAACTGAACAGAGCTGCTGATATTTGGGAATAGCATCTTAGAAAACCCTTAGTTACCCCCTCACCTTAACCGGGCATATATCGATACTGAAGTTTCACTTTGATTAAAACGAAATTAGGGCTTCATGCGTTGTTGGATGAGTACGGGTCTTACTGTGTGGATCATTTCTGCATAAGGCGCTAATTAGCGTCTTATGCTGACACCTCTTGACCCCTATGGTTATGGCGGCAAGTCGTCCGAGTAGGTAGTTCCGTTCCCCTTTTTAGTCTGCTGTGTCTTACACTCCTTGTGCATCAAAGAACAGTGTTGAAGGAGAGTGGGACATCCAGGCATGCACAGTTGGAGCTTCAGAGACAATCAGCGTTTGACTACTGCATTAAATATTAGGTTGTCAAGAAAATAATGTCCGTTTTTATTTGCTTGCTTTAACAAAGCAACCAGACTCAACTCAACAAAGAGTAAGGGGTACTGTTCGATAGAGCAAAGCAAGCTCTACAAGATGGCACTCATGTATTTGCGCCACGCTCGATCCACGGAGAGTTCGAACTCAAAATCTAAAGATTTCCGAATGCCCAAAAAATCGAAAAAAATCAGATCTTCGTCCAAATAATTTCTACGGACCTCCCACTCGCTCACATCAATACTATCGATATCTCATATCCATATGTGCGATTGCCGTATTTTTTCCTTGACTAGAAACTGAGAAAACGAAAATTTCCCTGATTTTCTCCAAGCAATGCTGAGCCGTTTTTGCATATGTAGTTCTATACTACAAGCCTAGGTAAGTATAACTGTAGATTTTCAGCCCACTCCAAGCGGTAGTTTTCGAAAAATAACGAATTCGGATTTTTTCGTTTCAGTTTCAGTGCTTAAATCGACATTTCTCGAAGATCTGATTTTTTTCGATTTTTTGGGCATTCGGAAATCTTTAGATTTTGAGTTCGAACTCTCCGTGGATCGAGCATGGCGCAAATACATGAGCGCCATCTTGTAGAGCTTGCTTTGCTCTATCGAACAGTACCCCTTACTTTTTGTTGAGTTGAGTCTGGTTGCTTTGTTAAAGCAAGCAAATAAAAACGGACATTATTTTCTTGACAACCTAATAGATCCACAAATGAAGCAACAGACACAGTAAATAATTCACGGTTGAAAAAAGCTTTTTTTTTCAAATTACCGCCTTGTAAATATCGAAGATTGAAAAATGTGAATGGTTGTGCTTTTTTTTCTTCCAGTATGATCCATAATGAAATATGTGTCGCACGAGCGATCACTCAATACGCTCAAAAAAGTTTTTTTTATGGTTGAGACATAATTCCTTCCTAAAGTCAAATAAAACTCGATTTCTTCGAAAGTGATTTTGACGAGATTAACCCTCGTAGAAAACTTGCGAATTTCCTATGAATTTCTTTCACAATTGTAACACAGCACGTCTGCGCGGATCTTTTGAAATTCTAGTCTTGCCAATGACAGTTACTCATTTCAAAGCTTCTAAGTTGTGATTTACAGATTGAATTGGCGCTTGTATAACTCTCATAAATGAAGCTAATAGAGCTTCTCATTATCTTATCTGTCCTACAATGGTCTTCTGAACAGGAAAAATTTGTTGGTAGGTCAACGTTTTTTCTTCAAGAGTTGCTCCACATCGTATTTCACTCGAATTCTAGATGAAGAAAAGCAGCAACCACCAGTGGAAGCAGCAGAAGAAACGGTAAGAGTCTACAAACTTGTACATCTTTTTCGCATTGGTGTTCCTCTTTTTCTTATTTCTTATCGTTTTGTACTTTGAAGCCTAAAAAGAGAAAGTAAGAGAATGCTAGAGCTGATATGGATTGAGTTGGTCATTTGTACTTTTCCACTGACTGAATCGATGATTATATAATAACATTTATAGACCACTCCTGCCTACAGCGAAACTCAAGGCCTTGTAAGTTTAATTTTGTGTCCAGTAGCTTACAGCAACACAGGTTATTTGTATTGTTTTTTTCTAGAAACGACAAGGAGCTATAAGAAGGTATGCAGATCATCATGCAGCTCGAATCAGTCTTGCTTTAAGCGGTTCCCCTAAGCTCAACACCTAACTCAACAACATAAAAGTGATTTTTAGAAAGGCAATGGGAAGCGAATTTAATATACCCGAGACACTGGCATAGGAGCAGCAAATGTCACTCATGTGTATATGAAGTGTCGTTGATCTGCCCAAAAATATCAACTCTGCAAATGCAATAGCTGTGCAAAGCAAAATATATTCTTCATTTGCTTATGTGATTATTATAATAGCTTGTAATTACTTGTAACAGAATAGTCGCTAAAGTTTGCAGAATTGATGTCTGTGCAACATTGAGTCTCAAATCTCACGGTATATGACAGTTTACATCTCCCTCTCTTACTCCTTCTACGTTCAACTAAGCTATTAGGTATGCAAAAACCGATAATGCGCGAGCCCACCGGAGAACCACCTTCGAAGTTGAGGGAAAACGTCCTGTATTCATGCGCTGGAATGAGGAAAATCGATTTCTGCCGTATGTTCAGAATGAAATAGAAACCTCTGGGAAAAAAAATAAAATTTTCTTTCCCATCTCCTTTATCCATCGCCCACTTTCTGCGAAATTTTCAGCCTTTGTTTGGGGATGTCAAAATGACATCAAAGATGTCTACGTCGCAATTTGAGATTCTGAATCCCTCTCACACTCGAAAAATAAAGGAGGTTCAAAGGTGCTACCCACAAGCTTCCGATATATCTGCCGAGATCTCCGAACTTCTAATGGGTGACAGCGGCAAGTTAGAGTGCACGAGAATAGTTTTCTGTTCAAGGAGAGAAAGTTGCCAGCACTTCGGCAGCCCCTACCATGTCAGGATGCTGTAGTGTGATGGTCTGGCGGCAATTTCACACAGTTCACGTCTCATCTGGCGAGACCGATATTCTTACTTCTGAAAAAACTATCTATATATTATTGTTTGGGTTTTCCGTTCTCAATTTGATACATTTTATGAAAAGAAAACTGAGTTTCATCGAAAGAGCGTTCCTTCTGTATTCTGAAATCTTAGAACAGTTTTGCGTAACCGTTGTATATCAATCAGTCGTTCTTTCAACGTCCAAGTCTAACACGCAGTTCATTGTTCTTGCCCTATTACAGGCGCCACTTGTTCGTTTTTATTATTACTGTCATGAAACGAGAATGGTTAACGTCCAGCGCTCGAAGTTGGTGATTGCTGAAGACACTGTTTTGCGCAGGTCTGTATCGTCAAAATTTCATATGAAAATTGAAATGTTGAAATTGTATGGACTTATAAACCTATGATTAGTCTGGTGGCTTACGCCGTTATTGGCAACTTTCCACAATGTGTTTGCCGGCATGTGTGATTAGTGATTTTGTTCGAAATAAAATTAATTCTAAAAAAGTCAAAAAACAAAATAATCAGCAGAAACATTCAATGACCTTAAAGTCTGCAGTTGAGAAGAGTATAGTTTCGCGCTCGCGATGGTGTTTGTGGCGCCTTTTTCTCACAGAGGACAATCTGAATTCAATGGCACAATTCGACTCATTTTAACGAGGTGCATCCTGTGACATTTAGATGATGTTAAGATGGTAGAAACATGATAGGCAGTCAGATACCTCAAATCATTTCAGATCTTTGCTTACTGCATGTAATTCGTAAAAATCCCAAGATTCAAATTCTGTTGAGACAACTCTGACCTGATTGTGGTGGCTGTTGTAAAGATTAGAGTATTGAAAGAGTCGTCAGCATACCAAATTACTCTTTTGCCGAGGTACGAGCAGAAACTATTCGTCTCTTATCACACATCTACCGTAAGAGCAAAAGCTGATGTCGGTTAATTTTCATCACAACACACTGAAGTATTTCTATGATTAGAAACCACTACCTGCTACATTTCCTAGTATTTCCTGACGTACGAACTTTATATTCAAACATGACTTATGGGAAGTATGGGAAAACCAGTTTTCTTATGCACATAACAAAGTACCGACCTTTGTTCTTCAATGGTCAGCATTTACATCCATTCCAGTTCTAGAGGTGCCGTCAAAATTGCGAACACATAAACTCTAAACAAGTCGAGGCGCAAACACCTGATAAAATATTGAAGATTTTTTACGAACGACAGGTTGGGTGGCACAGCCCTTTTAGAGATAAAAATAATAGGGTGGCAAGAGAAGCTAAACGACAAGCCGCCTGAGCTTGTATAGCCTCATGTCACCCACTTCACTCCATTTTTGATACAACTCGTAAGCTTACGGTTATTTTCAACCCGGAATAGAACTTTCCAAATGGATGAGCGCGGCCACTGGCTCAGCGAGATAGTTTAGAATGAAGAAACGCAGACTGCAAAGCGGCGCGAATCTCTGCAAAGCGGACTCTCGCCAGTCCAATTTTCGCCTAAACTGAATTGAAACTTAGTATAGGTTCTTGCAGGAAAACGTCCCGAACACCTTACTCCCAAAAACGTTGTAGCATATTATACCACTCAAAGATCAGCAAAAAAATTTTGTCATAATATACTGTCACACAATCGCAGGGGTACATACCGTTGCCTGACGATACTAGCATTTGTTTCAAGCATGTGTTTCTCAGCTCAGATCGCTTTTAAAAACCTTGCAGTTTTTTGATATAGAAGAGCCCGGTTATTCAAGAGCACAAGTACAAACACTCATGATCTCCTTTTTCAGCGTTCTGCAGACACATAAAAGACAAGAATCCAGCGTTCTTTCTGAGCTCTCTGTAACGCTATGAACTTTTTAAATTGGTGACTTACTTCGTCAGCTTTGTGAATCGAGTTCTCATTATTGAGCTGGAGTTTTACTGAAATCATTTTCGAGCTAAAACTGATCAGAGTAATTTCCCTCGGAACACAACTTTGAGTCTTGCTAATTTTTCAACTTTTCTCATCTCCCCATCTCTAATGCGCTCGAAGCATGTGCTGATTCAAAGAAACTTTCAAAAAAGTATAAAATTGATATCTGCAAAAATTAATGTCAAATGTACCTTCTGTCTGTTAGTTTACCTAAGAGCTCTTTGAAAACTTCTGCAGTTTTATGCCCCGGGCAGACTTCACGCGATTTGATCGTCGCGACTGAATCGCGACGAGACAACTGTTACAACATCATTCCATGCCGATCAACTTGCATTTCGGTTGTGATGCTTTCCAGCCCGAAATTTTTGGATGTGAAATGAAAATGAATGAAAATGCCGGCGATTGAGTCGCGACGATCAAACTGCGTGAAGTCTGACCGGGGTCTTAGAGTTCAAAAAAGTCACAGAAGTTCTTTGCAACGGGAAAAAATCAAATTGTGGCCATGGACACAATTTAGATTAATATGTTTATGTTCTTCTTCATAAAAGAACAAATACGCTACATCACTGGGAAAGACTAAGACATAAAGGAAATATCAACAATTACCCAATTAGAGAAAGAAAATAGAGAAATCATAGAGAAAGGAGGAGGAGATAGAGTATGAAAGTTAGGAGACCAAAACTCAATCAATAAAGCATACAAGCATGCCGCACCAATGATGTCCAAAGACGTTTTCACTTTCTGATTATTCAGCAGATCATCTGCCACCGGCTGATACAAGATACATAAGTACGATTTATGAACGAATGATAAAGTTGTCAAAAATGTCGTTACAAGTGCATCTCTGTCAAAATAGCTCATTTTCTCACATAAATCAGTAGTAGCAGTATGTAAGCACAAAGAGATATATCGAGCGATTTTAATTATACATTTACACAGATCTCTCACAGTTTAGTAAGATGGTTAAGCAATGAAACTAAAGACGGCACAGCCTTCAAAAAATCGATACTTTATTGTACATGATTATTATGTCTGGAGTGTTACTCTTCCAATTGTTGGATTCAGCCAGAAATAAGCAAAAAGCATATGAAATATCACATAGCTGAAGGATACTATCAGACGTTCCTAAGTCGGTAGATAATTACTAACGCTCGGCTGTCGCGACAGCGCTGGTGAAAGTGAAGTCGGTGTAGCTGGAGAGAGCGTGTGTGGCGAAAGGTGACGAGCTGTGGGAACAAATGCTGATTTCTCCCCAGATGATAATGTTGGCACTAAAATTGCTATTGTAAGAAAAACATTCAAAGAAAGCTTGGAAGCTTACGTGATTAGCCTTATCAGCCCTGAGAGTTTTCATATGGCTTGATTTTTTTTCTGGGGCGAAAGCCACAACTGCTCAAAACCCTTGTTCAATTTCCTACTGTGACGAAGAGTGATATGTGATCCTCATTAATATGTAAATCTGAGTTGTGACCAGCTCTAATATGATCCCCAAAGTTCAGCAAATAACCCTGTGGGAAAAGAGGTACAAACAAGCAAAATGTGCATACATATTATACTTTTGGTACGATCTATATATCAATACATCCGTATACTTTCCTGATTTTTTTTCGCAACTTACTGATGATTACTTGTTGCCAATAGTTATGACGTACAACTCCATCATGTTAATGTGTAATAAGGATGATCTCAACCCTATGAAAGCGAGATCCCAAGTGAAAACTACCAACGTAATCAGTTTTTTTAATTTAATTATTCATTTATTTTTTTAATTTTTCAAATCTGAAAGTTGAGTCCATGTCTGCTGCATTTCTGCTTTTAACTGTTCCTTTTGGCGCACCTTTGAGTATGAAATAAAATAATAAAAAAATAAATGATTATATAGCAGACAGTTTATTGATTAACCGATTAACAAGGGTCATAAGGGCGCTGTTTGATCGTGGATAAATCTCTCACTTGAATGTTTTGCCTTCACGTGCCGTTTTGCAGAAAATAAAAGCTGGCTTTAACTCGAATACACGTTCAAAGAAGTTATCAATCACTTTTTATTGCTGTAAGGCCACGGTTCAAACTTCGATGGTATTTCATACTGTTGATTACCATAGGGTTGAGCGAAAAACCTCCGTGTTGAGTTAAACAGAGTTCCTGCTTAGACAAAATTTACATGTATTGTGTTCTTCGAAAAAAATTACAACAGATTTACTGTAACAGCGACAGACATTCTTGAAATCATAATCATGCCATTTAAACAACCTTGGACATTCCGCTCTGGGACAAACTCTATTTCAGAATTGTCAGACATTTCGCTCCACTAATCACGTTCTACGCGAGCCGGGTAATGTCGTTATGTCTTATTATAATTGGTTTTCTATGCAATTACTAAGGTTTATTGACCCGCGCAAGAAATTCTGTTTATCCATTTACTACATTTAAAATTAATAGCTTTGTATACAGAGGTTAGATGTGATAGCATATTTACAATTTTTGTTATTTTTGAGCTGCAACTTGGTTGATTGCGGCTTATAAGTTACATGATATTTCATTCCCATGAGTTCATCTCGGGCAATGTTCATAATCCCGTTATTTGGAGAGTTATGCAGAAGCATAGACAATATATCCATTACATAACTGATACCAGAGACCTGAACTTATTTCAGATATTAAACAAAGAAGAGAACGAACTAACCCTCCAAATTGCTACCAACCGCACCAAGAAGTTGACGAACATCATTCGACTTCGGTTGTGGCGAAGTTTGTCCAAAATTAGGCGGAACGGGCGATATGGAGGGCGTCAGTGACAGTTGAGCAATGGGTACGGATATGTCCACAGGTGAACCGTCCGGACGTACGTGGGTGCGCAGATGGCGGGTGATCATATCTCGTCGGCTCTAAAGTGGCAACGATTACTTAGTCTTTTTAGGCGCGTATTTTGATGACTTACTGCTGCATATTGGCATAATGGGCACTGGTAAGGTTTTTCGCCGGTATGAGTGCGCTGATGCGTACTGAGGTGATCTGATCGAGAAAATACTTGTCCGCAAAGCTGGCAGCTATATGGCTTCAAACCCGTATGAAGTCGCATATGCCTATAAGGGCAGGTGATTTCAGAATCGGCTAGTGCAAGTAGCTCCAATCTCAAACCTCGTTAACATATCACTCCGCCCAAAGCTTTTGTTGCAGACGTTGCATTTGTGCGATTTTGCACCATCTGCTTCAGCCAATGCGGAGGCAGACCTAAAACGCTGAAGCTAAGTCGACCAAAATTGACCACTTTCCTGTAACCTACCGATCTCGATGACGAGATGCAATATGTTTAGCTAATCGATCATGCAGAGCGAACGCCTGAAACATAATTATGAAAGTTGTGGGGAAGCAATCATATCATATAAGCTCCATAATTAAATTAGTCCTGTAGGTACTATAATTAACTACAATGTGCCTACCTGTCCACATGTGGCACAAACAAACGGTCCAGTCGTGAGATTGCGACTGCTCACATCCGATTCGGATCGACTTCGCCTCCATAAGGTCGCTCCCTTCACCGGACCGGCTCCCATACTTGTTCCGCTAACATCCAGAGTACTCTGTCGTAACAAAGGAGCGCGTGATAAATGGTCAGTGGGCGGTGCTAATAGTTGAGGATTTGGGACCTAAACAGACACGAGAATGTGCAAATTTAGTTGACTAGAATTCGGTACATACTTGAAGTAAACCGTTGTTCATGGCATTGTTATACATGTTGACTGCTTGGAGTGCGACAATTTGGCGTTCCATCCACATTTGGATTTGGGTTTGTCCACCTAACGCTTGCCGCATAGCGTTTTCTAACTAAAGAAATCTGGATTTGCTAACGTTTTTTTCTTGCTTGATAAGTTGCGTACATTCTCTGCAGTAAGTTCATGTTGAGGAGATGCTGGTGGTTCCTCGATCGTAGGCTGCCTCGATGCTAGTCGACTCACACTACGCAGATCCGAATCGTCGATTTCAGACTCCTGTAATGGTTGTCGCATTAATGTAACCACAAACCGTCAGATTGTTCTGGAATGACACAGCTAATTGTGCACGCTTTAATAAGTGTTTGATTAAACGGTCAGCGTACCGTAGCACTTGGCGGTGGACTGCTACTGCTGCGCTGCTTTCGTGCCAACCGTTCTTCCTGTTCTTCTTGGTATTTTTGAAGAAGTCGCTTTTTATACTGTCCTGTTGTTGATAGGCGTCTTGACGTCGCCGCAGGAACCTGCAAAATCCACTACTCAATTAGTCAACATTTTGCTGCAGCAATTATTCTCACCGATATTGTTGACTGGAGCGACGTATCCATTCGCTCTTCTTTTGGTGACATATCACTATCGGATCGACTTCGTTCCCTGTAAGTCACAGAATTTAGTTGCAAACCGAAGGTCTTGTCAATCCATTTCATTTCGTTAATGCCTACCTCGACTCTTGATCGAGTGTATGCGATTCAGGTACCATAAGATTATGTGCCCTATTCGACATTGAACTACTGCTTCGTACTTGATCAAAACTAAAAGTTAGGTCATTATGCATGATTTTCAAATTGCCGTGCCAATTCGTACCTGAAGTGGTTGAAGCTACGAGTTAATGGATTCGGAGAGAGATTTGGCGATCGAGCATAGATGGAGTATGGTGTCTCAGTCTCCTCACAATCTGAGAACGGAGAATATGGTGCCGGTGACAACATCATACCGGGCGATAGCAGGTCCTTGCTGCACACATCGGAAGCACCGTCGTCGAGATCAAAACTGCAAAGTAGACAATTATCAAAGGTAGCCACGTTTATTTATCTAATCAATTCATTCTTACAAAGCGCTTTTTCCTTTGCTATGCTACAACTGAATGGCTACATCGTCATTATAGGGCTTCGGTATTTGTTTTGTTTTGTCCTGTCTTTCATTTATATAACTCTTCTTCCTTCTGTGACTAAGAATTAGTTGATCTGTCTTACTTCTGTGTTGCCTAATTTTCTGTTCGATTTCGGTTTTTTTAATGGTGCATCACGAATGTATACATAAAATAAAATGAAATAAAAAATACTCAAAGTTCAAAAAATTAGTACTTTGGGCGTGTTATTCGGGAATGAAGAAACGTGAAATTGTAGGCTGCCTCTTAATGAGATAAATAACTTGTGAAAGACTCTGAACTGATTTTTGAACCAGTAATCGAAGGTTGACTCATAACCAAAACTCATAATTAGCCAGTCCTCCACTTTTCTTCGATTATCACGTCTCCTTCTTGTACCCTCCCCCCTTCTCCGTTTACATTTCATGTTAAATTTTATGGCATTTGATTCCTTGAAGAAATTTTGAACTGACAAGCAGTGTAACGGCAGTTCTCGACTGCGAAATTTTGAACATTGCAATAAAATATATTCTGGTTATGGAAAGTGTAGATGCGACTCTTTATGCCTGACCTGCTTTTATGATGTTCACGAAAGTTTATCCATGGCGACAAGTTCGCTGATGTAACGCTGATCGATGATCTTGGGCTAGAGCCAAGATCCGATGTCGCGTATGTTGACATCGGTGATAGTTTGCCGTATTCATAACCGGAGCTCAACTAAACTTTCGATTTAACGATTGCCAAATTAAAGAGGAATATGTTTTTACCAGATTGATTCGATGCATTGCGTCTTCAGTCAAAGGAAAGGGTCGTCGAAGTCGAGGCGACGTTGGTGATGACGGCGCTGACGGTCCTTGTTCGCAAATCAACGGAGGTGACTGAAACGCAATTGATGTTTAGAGATGGATTTTCAAAAGAAATCATCATAAGGTGTCACTACGAAGACTGGAAAGAATGAAGTCAAAATGACCGGCTACTACGAGCGGCAACACATGAGCAGAACAGGTGGCAATGGACAAATGCTAGCTTTTTTTCGAATTCATTGATTATGGATTCGATTTTGAAAATAATCAAAATCAACAGAAATGATATGTAATTTATTAAGACGTTGGTGATTGAAAGCAACAGCAAAAAACGTGATGATTTGAAAATACACCTTGTGATTCTCACCTTAATTATACAAGATTCTATACCACCTATTAGCACATTTTTCATGTTACAGCACCGAGCGATCCGTGGTGGACCGAGAGGAGGGGTTTGCCCCGCCCTTTCTTGAAAGCGGGTTGCGAAATTTTTGAGTCAAAAATAGTGCAAACGACTTGTTTCCTTCTTTCAAATGATAGAAATATTCGCTTGATTCAAAAAGTCGGTAGGTCTGTAAAAGATTTCGAAGGAGGATTTGTCGCAACACTTCTCTTTCGTTTGAAACATTTAGTCCAAGCTGGCTAAGTGTGGAAACATTCTATGAAACTTTTCGGAAGTGCAAGGTCACGCCCCTTCTTCGGAATAAATTCTCTGCTCCGCCCCCCTCCCCGCCGCCTTCCCCCTCCAGCCCATATCCCGAAAATCAAACAATTTATATGCGCATAAGAATTTCGGGTTCGCCCCAACGAGTCCATCAGCAACGCACTAAAGAGAGCACAACTTTATTAACGCTGTAAAATAAAATTCTCGAGCATGAGCGCCATTCTAACTGCCCTACAGGGGCTAAGATTCGATATAGAATCGCAACGCCATTCAAAAACATCAGATAGCGGGAACTGTAATGTGGTCCCGAAGCGCGCGGATGCAAATCTAGCACCTTTAGGGCTACGGTTCACTGGCCGAAGCTAGAAAGAGTACGAAAAAGTTTACAATACGGCAGATTATATAGAGCGATGCTCATGTGACGTATTGATACAATGGTAACAATATGTCTCTGAGATTCCATATGCACTCTAGTAGGGTGTATTCGAAAAGGGGAATTTGTATTCAGCATTATTCGACCTGCAACTCTAAATGTAAGCGCATACAGTAAGATTTCATCTGAAATGTGACGTTAAAGCAGTGCCTCAATATTGAAATCTACAACTTTGCAGTGTCTTAGCGCTCCAGATTGATTGAGAATCTATGTTATGGATTATCAGAAACCTTACTACGAAGTTACATGAACTTAATCTAATTGAACCTTACACTCATGTGATTATTCTATGATTACACAGGATGGTCCACATTATGACAGGGCTCTCGAAAAATATCCATTTCGACCTTTTTCGTACTCTTTTTTGCTTCGCAGTGACGTTCCTCCCATATTTTTGGTCCTGTGCCAAACTTTCAGCGAAGGGAAGTATTGTTTGAAAGCTTTGAAAAAATCGCAAAATCTGAGTGCTTTCCTTATCGGCCTGAGGTGAAACGAAAAATAAACCCAAAAATTCTTTTACTTCAAGAGCTGCTAGAAAGTGGTGTTTTTCTTTCTTTAAAACGAATCTAGTAAATGATTGCATAAAGCTTGAAAAATTTGCGGACGAGAATGAATGCCCATACCAAAAAAGGCGAGAAATGGGGTCGCTAATGGAGAGATTTAACGGTCGGAAATTGAAATTGTTTAGTGCAGAGTTGAAGACATCCCTTTGCGTCACATTCCATGTAAACCACAACGTACGTATCATGTGTGTAAAATATCGGCTTTTAAGATGCTTATATGGTATGATGTTGCATATCCAAAAATTATTGTATCAGCAGTCGAATATATTACATCCATCAAGAGTGATGGACGTTTCTTCTGCGACGCCGTAGTGAACATCAAAACTGCATCAAGCATGCTTTGTCAATAGAGCACAGCAAGTTTTACAAAATAACTACAAAAGGATTCAAAGAATTCTAATTTACCTCAAGTTGGAAATCAAAGTCAAAAATGCCTAATTACCCAGGGCGTCGATTGGTCATCATATACTAGACAAACGGTAAAATACTTGAATGCAGTTGCAGGAAGTTGAGGTTAGAATTCAAGATATAAAAAAGGCTAAGAAATACAAAAATAACGCCTCTTTTGCTGAATAGATTTGATGACCGAGAACATACAGATGTAAAATTTTATGGTTCCACTTCCAAGGATTTCTAGAATACAATCATGTGAGTGCCAGGGCTCGCACAGCTGGTACCGGGTCAAGCTGGATATCGCTTGTGGGGCGGAAAGCAAAGGAGATATCGTTTTTGCGAGTCAGATACCTCTGTTTGCTACAATGCCAGGGGCAGGTCGCCGGCATGCCCCTGGCACAGCATGTTTACTCCTTATACCTCTGTTCATCAGCATGCCGCTAGCGTGCCACTCGCAAGCCAACGGAATGTCGTCGGTATATTGCCGACGTGTCAGTGCTGACACAGCGCGAGAATATGAGTTCTATGAGTTCCGCGCCCAAACAAACAGACAAAAGCCTTGTACATGCGCATTGGGGCCCAAAAATTTGTGAAAGCTTATGTGAATGAAAGCTGTGCTGAAATTTTTCTTGAATCAGCTGGAACCGTGCCAGGTCATTTTATATAATTTGTATCTACAATCTACACTGTAAAAGTTTACATACAAAGGAAAAACGATTTTACAACGTTTTGTTTTCGGCGTTTTATAGCCAGCTGAAATTTCTCGGTCTGCTCCGCAGTTGAATAGCTAATCACAAAGCGATCCCTAAGCAAATGCAAAACAGGTCAAGGCGGGCGTACGAAACTTCCGAGATTAAAAGCGAATTCGTTTTAAAAATTTCGCTGGCGCCAGCTAGCGCCGAACCCTGGTGGGTGCATCTAGCGAGCGCGGTTGTGTTTGCGATTTTCGGCTTTCTACAAGTTACACGAATATAATGGATGTTTGTGTGCGCATATTATATGGTGGCTAAGCGGGAGGCTTGTAGGACTTTTCAGGCCTGAGACTCAATTGAAGCACCTGAGTTTCTCTTCTGAGTTTGTACCTCTATCGTGGCTCCGCGATGCGGGCAGCTCCTCGAAATAGAAAAACGTGGGTTGCCGCAGTGTCAGTCGCACTACCATTTTCTCAGCTGGACCTCTTCCGCTGGCGCGCTGCCAAGCAGAGGGCTATATCGCGCTCAGAGCGGGTATTGCTGTCCATTACCTTCCTTCGAGTATTGTTTGATTGAATTCTCCTTGTCCTTGGCAGCGTCTGGCAAGCTCCCGCATGAATGTTTTGTGTAAGCGGTCGAGCAAGTAGCTGGATTTGGATTGAAGGGTTTGCTGTGGTTTTGAGGATTCTAGCAAGACCATCCGCGGGAGTGAAGAGGGGTGTACCGTTACGTACGGACCAAGCGTGTGCGGCGGACATGAGAGGAATCCTGAGTACGTTTGGTGAAGAAAGTGCCTTCTAAGACATTGTTGGCGCGGAGTATCGCGACTCGCCCCGAGATGTAAGGGTTTAGTACTTCTTGTAGTTTTAGTATTAGGTTTAGTTTAGTAGTTTTCTGTGTTATGAAGATAAACTTATGTGATGTATTATTTCTGTAGGATCTCTTGCGTTCTAGTCGCGTTCGTATCGAGTACTGGGTAGAGGTAGTCGCGACAGGTCGCGCAGACAAGGGCGTTTGCACGGTCGTCTACAACATCTTTGGAGTACGGGATCGAGTTGTATGTGGCGAGCGGTAAAAGGTGCGCCCCAAGGAGCCGCAACAACCTCAAACCTCATGCGGATTACTGCGCGGATCTCTTCTACTCATTTTGCACAGCATGCCTTGATCTATTGAGTACTGTCCTCATGCAGTTTTTATGTTCAGACTGCGGGCGTAGCAGAAGAAACGCTCGCTTGCTTTAGCCTAATATGAACTGTATGGGAAAAGGAGACCAAATTCAAGGTAGTGGCTCTTTCGTATATCAACTCTACATCGAATACCTCAACGCAATCCTCAATAGACTAGTTAACAAAAGTTGCGCACACAAGTGCAGGATTGATTGCCCACTGCGCAGAATAAATCTAGTTTAACCATTGATATTTGTGCACTAATTCTGAAAACATGAGGGAGGATAGGGAGGGTGGAGTGTGAACCATGTAGAAGTAGCATTGTCTCCGTTTGAATAGTAGATAATCAAAGTTCTTGCACTAAAAGTGTAAAGGAACTTGTCAAAGCAATTTTTTGCATTATGTATTGCATTTCAAATAAAATTTTGGCAATCAATATTCTTGTGGAATATAACGAGTTTTTCCGAGCACCCTTAAAGTTGGACTAAGTTGACCATTAACTATTTTCAAAATTCAAAAAAGCTATCGAGTTCTTCCAGAAGATTGTTGAAGTACGGACAATAACGAATAATCTGACTGAAAAGGGCGAAGAGCTTCAGCAGTTGTGAAGGGGGAGGGCTAAGACGAGGATCAAACTCGAAAAAGTTGCATACAAAATGGGTTATGGCTCTGAACCGTAAATTTAAGAAAATATCTCTTCAAAAGCTTCCAACTAATGTACAGTAGGACCTACCTCTTAGTGGCGAAACTACGTAATTACGAAGTTGAAAACAAAGTTGCAGAAATGAGCCTATTGATGTGTTTGATACTCATTTCAAACTATAAAAGGAGCGCGATTGCGTCTTTCTTCTCCCCTTTCCGAAAAGAAAAAGAGATTTTTACCTGCTCAAAAAGATTTTGAGTGCATATAGTTTATACAAGGAAGTGATGAGATAAGTTCTGCCGCATTGTGAGAACGCATGCACTCATAGATCTTTCATATAGTTGATCAAAACTGAATAATACACACGTAAAAGGGAAAATCATACGTATTCAATAGTTCCGTAAAACACGAGCTCAAGCTGAGTACTTCAGCATACGCACCCATGTCACCCTCCCTTTTTGTGTTTTGAATCAAAGCCCTTAAATGTAATGTTGTTCGCGGCCTTTTTGTCACGAAGGTCACACGAAGGACGGACACTAGTACAAAGTGACACTTAGGGAGTACAAAAAAAAATTTATCGAAAATTTCTCACCAGCGATTTGAAAAGAAAACTATTATTATTGAGGCCAAAACTAAAGCAAAAAAGGTGGGAATAAGTTTTACATAAAGCATTTTTAGCTCTATAACAATCTTTGAATCAAAAAATGTCATTCCCGCGAATTTTGGAATTTGCGAGGTATGCAAGATTCGAAAGATTTATGGGATGCTATGTAACTGTAAGATTTGGCTAAATCTTTGCCAAAAGTAAGAAAATTTCATAGCAAAATTAGTCGTCCCTAGATAGAGAACGAAAATAACCTGAAAATGAGCAAAACTACATGTTTCTTATGTGGATAACCCCAGCGATTTTCTGAATTGTTCGATGGTCTAACAAAATGCGAAAAGTGTTGGCAAAGAGAATTGTGAGATAACAGCGCGAAGGTACCAACTGACTCCCCCTCCTCCCGCAGGCTATCATCGTTTTGCACTTGACATCTGCCCCCTCTGCCCCCTCATCCCGAGCCTCGTTAAAAAAGCTTAGAGTAAAAGTAACTTCATGGGGATGAGATCGATTATTGATCGATTTTTTTTTTGCAATCGTGTAAATTATGTTAAGTCTTACTTAGGTCTTAGAGTTGACCGACTGTGATTAAGCCTTGTTTCCGGATTCCTTTCCTCTCCCCCCCCCCACTTGCCCTTCCTGAAGTTTGCTCATAACAACAATGTAACGATTTCTAATAATAAAGTGATGCGACTCCACCTATTAGTGAGGTGGGTGTGGCCTCCATTCTACAAATTTTTCAAAATGGTTTACATAAACTGTGAAAACAAATACAATGCGTGTTAATTTGAGAATATTGAAACAATTCTGCACACTTTATATAAGTGTTCGGCTTTACAAAATTATTTTCAGGGTATGGTTGTTAGCTATACAAAATCAAATCCCTGAAAGGCTACGGCTAAATCTAGGCTTCTCAAAGAATATTTTTGTCATGCACCCCCCCCCCTTCCCTTTTCTAAAGATCTTCTGGGACCAACACTGTTACCTACGTACATATATCTGAAGACGGTGTAAATCTTCCAGTTCATGTACATATATATGTACATCTTCCAGTTCATGTACATGTTACCTTGCCCTTCCCACTTCTCCGTCCCCTCTTCTATTCGGAACTCCAATAGTCATCTTATTATTTCCCTGTCCCCCTGCCTTGTCGCTAGACATCCCAGATTCCTTCTCGGAAACGAACATAGCATGAGTCACCACCTCCCACTTCCGACAGTGCGTCGGTGTTTTCCACGTTCGCTATCATCAATGCACATATACATGCATATTACATTCATATTCAAGACATTCACGGGAATCACACCTTAAAAGACGTCAGAAGACGACGGAGAGGGCGTAAAGGGCTTTGGATGTTTATGCTTGGAGAAACACTTGAACATCACTGTAAGGAGAAGACAGGAGTGGGATAAAATGATTTTTTGAAGGTTTGAGGTTAACCTGAGATACTTGAAAAACAAAGTCTGGGAAAAGTCATAGGTCAAAGATAAGTTCAGACCCCGCTAAAAAAACTTCTTAATCAGTCTCTATGAAATCACAGTGCCTATATTGTAGGTAATTTTGAATGTAATTTCCTCAATTAGAAAATGCTAGTGCTGTTGCTTTCATACAATCTGTTTTATGAGCCTGTACCAGTTAGACGTCTGCTCTCCCCCCCCCCCACTCACCCCTCTCAGGAAAGGGTTGCAAAATTTCTGGTAGTTTACATGAATTTATTAAAACTCCGAGCTTAACAGTTGAGAAACATTTCAATAAAAACTTCTCCATGAGATTTTTTGTTCCCCCTCCCTTGTAATTGCCCAATATCACGTATAAAGGTCTCAACTCAAATTTTCTATCAGTGAACGCCCTCAAAATGATTTGAAAAAATTGTTTGTCTGAATATCCAGAAATTTATGTCCTCAATCTTGGTTAGGATGAATGATAGATGAACAATGTGGACTGTGCTCCCTTTTAAACAAACTCTGAAAAAAAATTGAAGTAATTCTATGATCTGTGAAAATGAAAACAAGAAAAAAATTCAGTTTTCAAACTGAAAAATATAATTATGATCTTTCATTTTCAGCCTTGTATAGATTTTTGCATGATAATTTGCTAAATTACGCTCTGTCTTGAGCCTTCCCAAGCTTTTTGTGTATTAAGTCCAACTTCCAACCATATAAACAAATTTGAATCTAACCTCAAAAATCTCAGATTCCAAAGTTTCTTTCGCTTCCACAAGGAGTGCATTAAGAAGTATTAGGAAATAAATTGCTATTACTTATCTGCTATATCTCGTTTCTTTAACACACTTCCCAGACCCTCTCATCCCTCTCTTCCCCTCTTTCCCTAGCAATTTCTGCTAAAAATGAACGCTCACGACCATTAAGGAGCGTTTGAGCTCTATCGGAGCAGAATTCCACCTCCGCTCCTCTGCAAAGCGGATATCTCCCCCGCTTTCCTTTGTTGCGTTCTCTCCGGCTACCCGCCCTCGTCTTCTATCAACAATCGCGAACTTTTCTCCTCTAAATCTGTTTATCGTTGCTACGGGGGAGGCATTAGGAGCCACGAGCTCGTCGTCGCGATTCAATTAAACGCTATGGAAGGCTTTAACGTGCACGGATCATGCGCCTTTAGCGCATGACGTGTAAGTCAGTCATGAAGTCAGTAGAAGCCACCTACGGTTTCACCCTGGAGACTGCTGCGGAGTGGATAGTCAGGGGTTTTTAGTGAATGAATCCCAGATAAGCTGAGGTCTATGAGAGAGATTTTCTTAGCCCACCCACAGAAGTTTCGCCATCAAAATTTAGGAGGCGGAATGAGTCTACCAGAAATTGCCAAATGCGTGCGAAGCTTTATAAAATCAAGGCACTGCCTTTACCTCTTTAGGTTGCTCTGATACTATGTTTCAGACGGACGGAAGGGCTTGGTCAGCCAAGGGGCCAGATCGAATTTTGGTCCGATCTAGTCATAGCGGACCAGGGCCCGGCGTTTAGAAGCAAGCTGGACTTTTTTTTTTTTAAAAAGCAAGGAGGATATCGCTTTTGTGGATCCGAAAAAAGACATGAGTTAGGTTAGGTTAGGTTTTTGTAGTCGTCGTTTCCGAAAAGAGTCAAAGAGGACTTCGTAAAATTTTGTGAAATTCTGGGTTCGTTTTCAAAGCCTAGAAGCGAATCATCCCTGAACAGAGCCTCACTCCACAACGCCAGTCGCTTCCTGTATACTTTTACTGTATTTACAGTAATTAACATAGAAGGCATTAATCCAAGAAATAGAAAATATTCGCAGTTTTCTACCGATTGTCGGAAATTTCAAACGCACTTAGAGAATTTGAAAATGGTTTTACATGATACATTAGTATCACTTTTTAAAACTATTGATTTTGCAATATTTTTCAATAACCTGCAGCTTCTTGGTCAAATCAGCACGGAAAATAAGGTTTTGGCAATAATTCCCAAAAAATTTCTGGTGCAAGAAATTGAGGTCCGAAAATTCCAAGATATACAAGTTAAGAAAATCAAGCACCTCTCTCAAAGGAATGCAGTAAGGATGATCGAGAACTGGGTTTATATGCAGAACAGAATGGTACAAGTCCTACTTCAGGATTCTAGGTCTTCAGTTGTAATAAAGAGTGATGAGTATTTTTGAAAATGGATTGCAAGAAAAAAATTCCAACTGCGACTGCGCAAATCAGTCTTAAAAACAAAACTAACCTTTAACATTCTTTTTGCTCCGCTATCGAATCGTTTCTCTGGTTCGCATATTCCCGGTATCACAAGCGCCGGTGGCCGATTGACCAGCGATGGGCCGGGAACGGCTGCGGCAGCTAAAATAATAGGAATTCTGATCTTATTCAATTGAGTAAATTTTCTCTGTTTTGGATAAAATGAGCACATATAACTCTTTCTTTGTTTTCACAAAAAATGACGGGAGCATAAACTAATTTTGTACTTTTCCCATTTTTTTGACCAAAGACTTTAGCAAATTTGAGCAACGCATGCTGCTGGAGATTCGAAGCGGTAGTTACTGATTCTCCCAATCTCTGGTCTCCCATCACTAGATCGGGCAACCTGTGATAGGGCGCTGGTTCATAAGTATAAATGAGCGCCCGATTGGGCGACGGGAGATCAGAGGAGAAATAACCAATAATGCTCCCGACTCCAACACCCTCAAGAAGCTAGCTCGACAAAGCTCATGAATTCAACATTTTATTCTGTGGGCGAGCGAAATACGCAATCAATCGATATATCGATCAACACTCACCATGGAAGTTTTCCACATTTAAGTGGTTGTTGTTCATGTGAAGAACTTCTTATAAGAGGCGTGTTGAAGCAGGATATTAATTTGCAGTCGGCAAGAATACGGAAACCTGAAATGTCCTCAAATAAGTGAAGTTAAGAAGAGATGAATCATATCTGCGAAAAGAACTCGTGCAAATGAATTCACTTCATCAGAATGAGTGGTTATATATGAGTAGACCTTTGCTCTGTAATCCTTACCGGATCATGGAAAAAGGTTACTATATATCATCAAATAAGAGATTACGGATTTGCAAGGGATTCTGATTATGCAAAGTTTCTCGCAGTCTTAGCCTTAGAAAGGCATAGGCGAGTGAATGAATGAACGAATGAACGAATGAATGAGTGAAGGAATGAATGGATGAATGAATGAATGAATGATAGCATGAATGGATGGAGAATGATTGAATGAATTGTTGACTAAATGACTGTAAAAGCGGCCGGGCATACTTCACGCGCAGTCGCGACACGATTTGGCAAATCGCCAGAAGTCTTCTGATCCAACACTAGCAAACTGCACATGCATAGTATGCATAACTTACGTGGATTGTAAAATGCTTTATCTTCTGTACATTTAAAATGTGCTTACAAGGGGTTATGGACAGTTGGAATATTGCCAAATCGCGTCGCGACTGAAATCGCGTGAAGAATGCTTGGCCCTTAACAAATAGATGTTGACCATAATGTTACAAATTAAGAGAGTGAACGGATTCTATAGATCAAAATTGAAGAAATGTGGAAACAGAGTAGTAAAGCAAATGGTTTAGTCAAGTTAAGCGCAGTGAACGAATAATCAAATGAAGACGGTAGCAAGAAATATTCTAATCCCATTTCCCATTTTAGCACAGAGTTATTTTTAGTAAAAAAAGGAATTATGAGGAAAAGAACAGCTGCAGCGTCGCATACGAAAGTGATTTTTTGATTGCTCTAAGTGCATTTCAGTGAGAAGATATCAAACTATTTTCGTTTGAAAGTAAATTAGGTTGCACGCGTTTACGCTATAATTTCTTAAGGCCATACGGTAGAACCTAATGACTATTCATTTCACAATATTGCCCTATATTGGGCTCTCAAGTAGTATGACGAATATAGTGTAGAGCACTTTGGTTGCCATGGTGTAATTTCACTACAAGAGCCGCGGAATTAATTTCGTAATATTTGTGGGTGGTAGTGGTGGACAGGAGAAAAAGGATAACACGCTAAATTTATTTATATACAGTTGGCTACGATTCAACAACTCACGCAACTTACGGGAACTTCCCGAGGGGCAGGCCAATTTGCCAAACTCCGAGGGTTTCATTTAGCACGTAGATGAATGGAGCCCGTGAAAGTGGGAAGTTCCTGAGGACTTTGACATCAAAAGCTTGAGAAGCTCCCGAGGGCTTACTTGCAGAACTTCCCGAGGACTTTACGGGAACTTTCCGAGATGACCTGCGGAAGATTCCCCTCCAGCCGTCGGCCCGTGAATTGTCTGAGAAAATGTCTTAGCAAAATGTTCTAGGAAGCGCCCTTTAGTGTGCCTTTTGGAAGAATTCCCATGCAAATGGAAAACTCCTTGCAAGCGCAATAAATATAATATAATGAGATGAAATTACGGATCCTGGAAATGATTATAGAAGGAAATGAGCGTAGCCCTCTAGCGCTGAACTAAGAAGTGAGAGAGGAATATTTTACCGTAACATATGCGTAGATAAGCGGTTTGTCTAGCAAATCCAACGCAATGAAACGAGCTGGCTTGAGAAACAGCAACTCGATAGATTATGAAATCTGCAAATTATGAAGATACGACATAAGTCGAGGGTAAGTCGCTTGAAGAGCGGATCCGACGAGCATGTCAACAAGGTGGGGCTGAGTGGGTTTGCAATATTGCGGAAGAAATGGACTGGGTTATTAGACAAAACATTGCGGTACTTGGATCAACCAGAAAAAAAAAGTAAAATAGAATCTCCCGTCTCTGTAGAAACAGTGGAAGACTTTTAATCTGAAATGGAGCAGGCCAGTTGCGGTAGAGCACGGCACACGCAGCCCTCGGTCTAATTTGCCTTTGTTGTGGTGGGGTGCTCTACGGCTAAGGCCTGCTCCAGTCAAATTCATAATATACGGATTTACTACATTCAAAATACATTAAGGGATATAAACTAAGAAAGAACAAATATATAGAGATATATATCAAAGTAGGTCGTAAAAAGGAACCTGGATATTTTTGGTCTTGGGGCCTTTTAGTGATTGAAGGTTGCGATTATTTAATTTTTACACTTGTGTGATGGCCTGATTCCTTGAAAGAAATGATCACTTAAAGATACCTACTCTTCCATTGCTAAAAAAATGAAATTTACTGATAACTACACTTTACCTGAGAAAGATATTTGCAAGAGAGCAATTTCCAATTTTTATTTTTGCGTTCATTTAATCACTGAGAAGAACCAGGAGAGGAGTAGCGCGCACTGCAGCTGTTCCGGTTAGCACACATGGGACAATCTCAGTACTTGGCCAACCCACTGGGATAACATCAGACATATGAAAAGAAGCTTTTGACGGCGTAAAGCTCCTAGAGACATCGGCTCGGGTATTAATCTGCTGAAGACGTAGAAATCCTGATCGCATGATCGTTGCAGCCAAAGAGGAGAAAACAAGCGCTTCCAGGAAACGGAAGGGGGGGGGAGGTTGAGGTAGACTAGACGTTGAGTTTATGCATATTCATGCGATAGGAAATTAGTCATGTCTACATGACACTTCTCGACCTCTCAGAAACCTTCCACTTCAGCTAAGCTCCCAGCTAGGGACAAAATTCTGCCAGCAAGCTCCGCCTCCATTGGAAAGGAAAATTGTGCGCGCAAGTGGAGTCTGTTGGTGGTACTCGTTCCCATACCCATTCCCTTCACCTCCGCCCACTCTGCTCTCCCAATCGTGCCCATATCCCATTGTTCTTTGCTCTCATCACTACACTATGTTCTTCATCATAACAGCTTCCCCCATTGCAAACTCTCTACCACTCCCCCCCCCCCCCCCTCCTCCACCCAAACAATCAATATCCATAAATCATGTATGCTGTACTTGCAGACAAGAACGATTCCAAGTCGTCACGCAACCAAAACGGCGCTGTGACATATTCAACAGTTATGGATGCTCTTACAAGATGATGACTGACGTCGTCAAGCAAGGTGCATCTTGTGCAAAATTGCGTGCATAAAACATGCGTGCAGTGGTGGAGATAACCTAGCAAGAAGAGTAATTAACACAGCAAGAAGAATAATGGCAGTAATACAGGCGCTGCCGGTGCAGATGCGAAACTCGGCGTGATTAATTGAAGGTGCATAGAATTGCTATAAATCCATCTTATGGTCTTGCACAGGGTACTAGCAGAAGCTCGGGGGGGGGGGAAGGAGAGAGGGGGAGGAACAACAGCAATCAAATCCTGATTTACGAAGAATACTCAAGAAAGAGAAAGAGCATAGTTTTTATTGAGACAGCGAAAGAAAATCTAATCGATTGGAAAATGCTTTCGTGAAAACGAGGGAGGAAAAAAATTCAGAAAAAATATGGCATAAATAATTTGTATATTAGTCGGCGTGTTTGAGTAACTTCTCCTAACAATATCGTACAAAACAAACTTACCAAATAGATTTTGAGAAAATAGAAAAAATTCTTGCATTTTGAATTCCGTCTATTGCGGTGAGAATTTTTTGGGCAGAGGTTTTTTCGGAGGCAGCAGGGCAAAAAGGGGCGTGCAGGGAACGTTTTAAAAAATCCCACTCATTTCTGATGGCCTCCCCCTCACCTACAGTTTCCATTCTCTACCTAAATGATAGAAATAGCAAGAATAGCATTTGAGTTGAACACTGCTCTTATCGCAATTTCCACAGTAACCTGAATGGATCCAAACAATCGATAATCGATTGAAAGCGAGTCATCCATCAGCTTGTTGATCTACGCTGAAGAAAGCAGCTCGAATTGAGCCCATCGTCGGAAAGCGAGGGTGTGCGGCTCAGATACATATTACTACTTTATTAATAATCGATATATCGATTGCGAATCTTTTTTAGCATTATTGAGCTAGTCTTCGAACATGCAAAGCAAAAAGTTTCAAGTTATTATATACGTAATATATCATGCATACAGTATGTCCAAAAAATTCATGATTTTCTGGACACGATGATTCCAGAATTTTGCTTAAGCAGAAATTGTGGAAAATCAAATAGCATGATTTTGAACAGGTAAAAGACATAAATCGCAGTTTTATGAAGCAAAATAAAAGCAGTAAATCACAGGTTTCGAAAAAATTGAGGAAGTAGGGCAAAAAGCTCTGTCGTGAATACAATGACAGTTTAGAATCGAGCAAGATGTTAATATGATAAAAAACATATTAAACACCTATTAAACATACACTTAGTCGACAATATAGAACGTTCGAACGCGTCCAGCCGCAAGCCACGTGCAGCTCGGCAGCAGACCGATGGCGATTCGTATGCGATCACCGCAGGTGTTTTCTTCGTCAACCAGCTGATCATTTCCCCGGGTGAAATATGCTGTTCAGTCTCTGGCTAGTGTAATAGGGGATGATTGGGGGGTATGACTAACTATTGTAGTAAAAAATTACTTGAAAAAAGTGATCACTTGAATTGTTTTATGAATTGATAAGGAGGAAGAATACAGAAGGAGGAAGAGAAAGGAGCACACGAAGGTTGGAAAATACGTGCACTCGCGCAATTTAAAGCACCGCCCATTCCGCATTCTTAATATCGTGTCGAGACCCGTGAGCACATCTCTGTTTCTGAAGGAGGATGATCCATTTTGAATCGAACGCTATACAGAGACCTCGAGAAAAAAGTCTGCGAATCTTGATGTATTCATTTTTGTTATTTTGGAATGCATTACGACTATTCGACCTGATATGTACCCTTTGATTCAACTGGCTTGGCGGCTGGAAGGCGGGGCTTCGTGACCTAAGTAAGGCTAAATAATGATCAGAGAGCACGCACGCGACAGAGACGCAGACCGCGTCGCAGGTGCGAGCGACCTTAGGGTCATAAAGCCCCGCCTTCCAGCTGCCAAGCCAGTTGAATCAAAGGTTA